CAGGCATTGCTTTGGCTCTCACAAACTTAGAGCACACTGCTTTGATAGCTTTTGCTTCTATGGCCTCCCGCTGGTTGTGAATGAACTCAGTGCGTGTCAATTGGTCCGTAACAGTCAATGTGGACGTAAAACGGTCATTGGAGCTGCAGCAGCATGAACTGCTTGCCGCATTGCAGCCAGACCCCCAGGACCCATTGGTGGTGGACTTACAATTGGTAGAGGAGTAGGTTTTCTCGTCTTGTCCTTCGTGGGTGTTGCCTTTTTATTGGGTCTCGATTGGCTGAAGTGGGATAGTACTTTGGCTTGTTGCTTATGTTGCTGTGCCAAAATGAAAAGGGATCTGTTTCTATCCCTTGAAACCATGGAATTCCCTTCAACCAGTTTGTCCACATTTAAGTTCGCAACATTGGTAGGTTGCACAATAGCATGCAAGTCCTCCCTCTGGGTAATTGTGTCCGCTGAAATAGATGGGGTATAGCTAGTAGCAACAGGTTTGTCTCCAGGCACTGGACTTTGTAGGGTGTTTGAATACGTCAGGTTTCTCATCACAGTCTTAGTATTTGGCGGTGGATTTGTCTTAGACCTTCTGCCCTTTGGATTACTAATAGTGCCCTGAACTAGGTCTCCATGAGTTGGTGTCATCTCATAGGATAGGACGGTATAGTGCAGATTGACCTCTGGATTCCCCGCCTGGGTTTGCAACCACTGTATAAAGTCTGCGGCAGACGAGTTTGCTCCATCGGCAGCTTTGGCTGCAATGTATTCTGGTGAAGTTATCATGACGGATCGAGTCGCAGACCTAGAAACATAGCCATGCTTCAACTCAAGAAGCATCTTCCAAAATTGCGTACCTGTAACTGCTGCCTTCTGTTGGGCACAGACTATTTGTCGAGCTTCTGCAGTGAGGTTGTGTGCTTTTATTGGTAACTCGGCTGCAGGTTTGGCATGGTATTTGTGGAGTGTGTCTCCTTTACAAGAGATGTAGATATAGGATTGATCACCTTCCTTTTTACTGCTATGAATACGTAGTCTTAGTCTGCAGGAGCACAACTTGTCTCCTGTAATGCCCTTTGAAGTGTGCGTAGCTCGGGGACAGGTTTGGCCATCTGGACGATTTCTCAAACAATCGTGATGGTAGGACTTGTGACGGTATTGGAGAAGGACTCCTTTTACATTGAATTGCTCCAAGTCCTGTAGTTTCGTCCCTTTGTATGGCTTTGATCTATAACAGGTCAACCATCCTTTTGAGGCATCATAGGTAAATTCACTTCCATGCTTTAGGCCAATTAGTTTCAAATGGTGAAGCAAATCTTTGAGACCTTGTTTTGTAGGTGGCCATTGTTTTGAATCAAAGCCCATAGTCAGGATTCTGCGCTTGTCATCGTCTTTGAATCTTTCCCAACAAAGGTTGATCATTGGGTCCTCGATCGTTGCATACACATGTAGTATATTTGCGATAAAATTGAGCTCTGCGTTTGCCCTTTATGTTTCTACCCAATCAACAAGCCGATTGATGCTTCAGGTCCAGATACTCAGCAAATTGCACAGGCTAGTTGTCGCAAGCCTCAGAGAAGTGTATTTCACTAGAATCGCAGCGATAATCTCAACTGGTAGGATTGACTGCTCTCTCATGCCTTGATCGGCCTTTCCAGGATGATGTCGATTCAATCACAATATGATGCGATCAAGTTGTCAAAATCACTTTCCAACAAGCGCAAAGTTGGGGGGTGGTTGCACTTCTATCGATCCGTAGGACCTCTCGATCGATTGCATGTCTCTCACAACAAAACCCTGACTCCGAATCCACAATGCTGGCGTATTGTCGCAGCTCGCGTGAAGCTGATGATTCATTCTCTGCTTGTTGTGCTGCTTGTTGCGCTGGAGTCAGCCTGCCGTTCTCGCTTCAGGCGCCTGTCATGTCGCCATCTTTATCTCACTAGGTCGCAACTGTTGTGGTGCTGCTTGTTTGTTTTGCAGTTCCTTGGCTTTTGTCTGCATGCTTGAAGTTGATGTGATGTCGGTGCAGAACAATCAGACCAGTGCAGCCCACGACAAAAGAGCTAGCGACATATCCGGGTTAGAAGTGCTTTATTTTTGATTTTCAAAAACTAATGGTCTGCCCTTCATGAGGAAAGCTGCCGACACGTAGAGGTGGTACGAAAAATACGGCGGTTTTCAAAAATACCCAACCCCATTTTTATGAAATATGAGCCAAAATATGCAGCAAAACGACTTTTGCCGGGTATCCCAGGAGAGCTGGGAGTTGCGGGGAGTTTGCATCTGATGCGTGTGACGCGTCGTAACTAGTTATCTATTCCGAATCAAACCGCGCATGCCAAACGAAACAACACCGAACAGAGCGGAGGTTTCCAAACGAAACCAAACGACACGAAACCACACGTCTCGTGTTGTTTCGGAATAAAACCAAACGAAACGAAACGGCGCGATTTGGTTTCGTGTCGTTTGGTTTCGTTTCGTTTGGTTTCGCTTCGTTTGGTTTCGTTTCGTTTGGTTTCGTTTGGTTTCATTTCGTTTGGTTTCGATATATTCCTAAAAATTGTTCGTTTGGTTTCGATTGGTTTCGATATATATTGAAAAATCGTTCGCCTCGAAAAGGAAGGCGCAGAACCAACAACACTTAATATCTTCGATTTTTGAATATATCGAAACCAATCGAAACCAAACGAACAATTTTTAGGAATATATCGAAACCAAACGAAACGAAACGAAACCAAACCAAACGAAACCAAACGAAGCGAAACCAAAACCAAACGACACGAAATCGCGCGGTTTCGTTTCGTTTGGTTTTATTCCGAAACAACACGAGACGTATGGTTTCGTGTCGTTTGGTTTCGTTTGGAAACCTCCGCTCTGATCGGTGTTGTTTCGTTTGGCATGCGCGGTTTGATTCGGAATAGATAACTAGTTACGACTCGTCACACGCATCAGATGCAAACTCCCCGCAACTCCCTGGTTTAACGCAATAATAATCGATGAAGGAAAGCGCTTATGATGGCAATTAAATGCCATCCAACAGTAATATTTCTGCTGGTGTCAACCGCTCCTTTTCTTTTCTCCATATTTCGCCTCCATGACAGCGTTGACTCGTCCATGATGCGCAAGGATTATCCTAAAGGGTGGAGAAATGCTGATTACAACGCGGCACAACTTCCATTTAGTGCGTGTTTGCTATTCAATGATGACATCCACTTTCTTATTGAATGGCTCGCTTATCACTGGACAGTATTGCCATTGCGGCGTCTCATTGTTGCAGTAGATCCCCTGAGCGACACAAATCCATCAAGGATTCTTCGCCGTTGGGAAAGCTTCATGAACATTTCTATTTGGGTGGATGATTTTTTTTTCAACAGATTTCACCGGAGCAGTATCCTTAGATCCGCGGCTATGAATGAAACCTCGACGATCTTGATCAATGTACACAGACAACGGCAAAAGATGTTCTATTTTCAATGCATGCGAACACTGAAGGATGAAGGACAGCGGTGGACTGCTTTTGTGGTAAGTCATATTATGCTTTCCAGCGCAATTTTGATGACATCTTGCTGAATCTAATGTCTCCGTTCTGGAGGACACCGACGAGCTCGTGTTTCAAAATGAGAATGATCTGGGTTTTAAAAAAGTCCTTTCCCTATCGACCAACGAAACTGTATCTAGACTTCTGCATGTTCTCCAAGAATTGAATCAAATCTCATCGCCTTGTGTTGGATTGCCACGACTCTTGTTTGGTGCGAACGAGGACAAGAAGGAGGATCCGGAAGTAGTTGCAAAAGGCTCGCTCCTGCCTGAAATTGGCTTCTCTTCAACTGATTTCATGACCTTGCGCTGGAGGTGGCACGCCGGCAACGACAATATACTGAATAGGGCCGGCAAAGCTCTCATTGATTTGTCACGAATCCCTGATGGTTTGCTCCTACTGGACAATGTGAATGCCCATCGACCCATCAAACAGCTTTGTACGAATGATGCGATGTGGATTCGAATAGACAAGTCGCCGTTGGTGCTTCATCATTATGTTGGAACTTATGAACAATGGATCTCGCGAGACGATGTTCGAAACAAGAGGACCTCCTTGTTGTATTCAGCAATGGCCGCTGTCAATAGCACAAAAGTTTCAAACGAAAATTTGTGGTTAAAGGACTTTATCCAGGCTATTGGAGAAAACAATGCAGCAATGCTGCTGAAAGATGTCGGGAAAGTTGAAAGCCCCAAAAAACGAGGACGTATCTCACCAGAAGCAAAATTGGCAAAGCTCTCTTCTCTGTTGTACGTAAAGAATTCAAGAAAGTTTATTTTACCGTAGCTTTTTGGGGATGTTGTACCATGAGCTTCATATCTTGTGCACTAGCTAGCAATACTGTACAGGTTCGTACCAGTACAGCAGGTAGCCAACAGATGCTTTTTTAATCGGTATAAGTTTACAGGTCCGATTCCAGAAAGTTTTACAGCGAGCCGGTTTTCTACGAGGTGCGCCGTAGTAAACGTACACAAAAAACGTGCATCCCCACGGGCGCATGGTACTTTCGGATCTTGGAAGATTCGCTCCCGGAATAATAATAATAATAATAATATTGTGATTTTCCGAAGTCGTGTTGATAGTGTTTTTTTTCTTTTTTTCCCCAAAACAAAAACACCATACCCCCGTAGTTCATGAGATAGCATCGTTCGTTCTCAATACCGCAGCAAACAAGACAA